CCCAAATGAAAACTACCGGGACAGAAAGCTGTTGCTGGCATTCACTTTCTCCTTGCAGGCTATCAACTGCACCACCAACACTGGGGAATGTTCACTTTCCTTGCAAACTAAAACATCACACATGATCACTCTGGAAAGAGACTGTCTCTAAAACAGAAGATGTCCAGCGACTGCTCCTGCATAAAAGTTTCCAGGACAGAAAGCTGTTTTTGGACTTCACTTTCTCCTGCAGCCTATAAATTGCACCACAAACTCTGTCATTATGGTCTTTCCTTCCCATCAAAACGTACTTGTAAAGAAACTTTCCTGTCTGACTACCCAGGAGCCACTCTGGCAGCTACACTCCCACCTCCAGGATTGTAATTGCTAGGACCAAGGACCCTTTACAGCAGGCACCTCTAGTGACCAATGGGTGCCCCACTTGACTCCCTGGACACCCCACACTCACACAATCAGACAAAGTTTCCTTATTGGCTCGATGGTCGGTTTCCCATAGCAGAGTCTCAGATGTCTGGATCCTTTGAGTGATTTAGTCATTGTCGAACAACAGAATAACTGCTCAAGATAGTGCCCCTGGGGAGGGACACCCAACAAAAGGAATCCTGGGAATTTTGTACTCTAACAGTCTGTGTATGCAGTAGTCTGAGGCCTTCCAGCTGTGTTATTGGGTCCTGCTGTGTCCCTAAGTGCCAGGTCACCTGGCCTGTGCCACAGGTCCCCATGCTCTTTGTTGTGCTAAAGGTCGGCACCAGGTCACGGTCCCTGGCCTGAATCTCTCACTGTTTTTCCCCACCCAGGACACAACCTGCAGCTCACATTGCAGCTGCACACCCAGTCACCTTCTCTAAATCATGCACCTATACTTAGGTGGGGTGGGCTGATACCATTGAGCACACTTTCTCTGCTCTTCAAAACCTTTTTGCATCCTGAGTCAAGTGTTCATCTGTCAGCGGATGGGGGCACACGGACCACGGCTGGGTGTGAGAGGGAAGGGTTGTTGGGGGCCTTAGAAGTGGAAGCAGGGGGTCAGCAACAGCTTTTTGTCCTATCACCTTTAGTGTGGGAGCAGTCAATGAGCTTTTCAATTTTAGAGCAGGGCTCTGTCCAGAGTGAGAGTATGTGGTGGTAAAACGTGAGAGTGGGAAGGAAAGCATATAGTCCCAGTGTTGGTGGGATACTTTATTTAGAAAATAATTCTGGAAATAATGCATCTACCTAGAAGCATAGCTACAAAATTGAAGACCTCCAGCGACTACACAGACAGAAAACTGTCGGCCCTTACCTTCCCCTTGAAGACTATAAACTGCACAACCAACACTGAAGTTATGCACTTTCCTTCCCACTAAACGCACCATCACGTTATTTACTCTGGGCAGAGCTCAGCTCCAAAATTGATAATGTCCAGGCACTGCTCCCACTCCAAATTTGCCGGGACAGATGGCTCTTGCTGACCTTTACCTTCCCACTGTCCCTGTTTCATAGCGCCACTAGATGGAGTGATGCACTTGCCTATCAAACTCAATGTACCCTGGCACTACGTCAACCAAACATTGCTCCAAAATGGAAAATCGCTAGGTGTCAGAACAAGCAGAGAGTTCTGCTGTTGGTTGGGGCTCTGAGTAAGCATCAAAGGGCAGCAACAGCTGTTAGTCCTGGCCCCTTCTTTATGGGAGTCCTAAGCTGAAGGTTTTGTCTTTTGTACCAAGGCTCTGGTTAGAGTGAGGCAGTGGTTTAGGAAAACTGTTAGGAAGAGGCATAAGGGCAGAAGCTTGGTTTTGGTAGGGCCAGGAGCCAAGGCCACCCAGAAAAGCACATGGAGACACTGGCACACATAGAAAGGCCCAAGGAAGCCCATCAGTCTCAACAACAGGCACTTTGAAGCTCTGGGTCTGCACAGAAAGTGAGAGTGAGGGGTGTAAAGTGAACAAAAGAATACACGGAGGTCCCTGAGCTGTGACAAAGGGCACTTAGAGGACCCTGAGGTACACAGAATGGCACTTAGTGCTCAGAGCCACACAGAAAGGGACACAGAAAGGGACACAGAAAGGGACACAGAAAGAGATGAACACATGTGGTGGTGTCACTCCCTCCTGCCCCTCCATTCCCCTTACCTCTCATTCCCCACATCCCCCTTACTTCTCACTTAAACCATAACCACAAGTGGGGGTTGTGATGGCTGTATCCAGTTTACTCTGTCTTTGGGGGTAGATGGCAATGTGGTAGCCAAGGGCTGTCTCAAATGGTGAGCCAGATGTCTGGCAGGTATGGAACTATGAGTATAATCTTACTCTATAAGCAGTGGACAACTGAGGGCCAGTTGAACTCTCCTGTACATCATCAGGCTGCACACCAGGATCTTCCCTTGAGCAGGGGAGCCTCTCAAGAGTTTTCTTGAGAAACTTTCTCTGGCTGAGAGCTTCCTTGCCACAGACTCTGGGTAAGTGATTGATAGCACACTAAACTTTGAAAGATATGTGAAGGATTCATTGTGCATATTTATAATCCTATAGATAAAAACTATTGATCAAGTCTGAGACTAGGATTGGATCCAGATGCACCCAAACTGCTCTCTAAGAAGGAGTTTAGAAAACAAGGGAGACCTTTCTAAATTCATGATTCAATGGGAGAGTCTCCCTGACTGTTTTGTCTGACCCAGCCCCTCATGCAGTAAATAATCATAGAATCATATGGTTTGGGTTGGAAGAGACCTTAGAGACCATCTAGTTCCAGCCCTCCTGCCATGGGCAGCTACACATTCCATGAGCAGGTACACCTTCCGCTAGACCCGGTCTGCAGTCCTCAGCACAAGAAACACTTGAAGGGGGTCCAGAGGAGGGCCATGAAAATGACCAGAGGGCTGAAGCACCTCTCCTACAAAGACAGGTTGAGATAGCTGGGATTGTTCAGTCTGGAGAAGAAAAGGCTCACTGCAACCTTTCAGTATTTAAATGGGGCTTACAAAAATGAGGGAGAGCAACTTTATGCAGAGCAGATAGTGATAGGACAAGGGAGAACAATTTTAAACTAAAGAGGAGAGATTTAGATTAGATAATAGGAAGAAATTCTTTACTTCGAGAGTAATGAGGCACTAAACAGGTTACCCAAAGAAGATGGGGATCCCTGGAAGTGTTCAAGGCCAGGTTGGATGGGGCCCTGAGCAAAATAATCTTGTGGGTGGCATCCGTGCCCATGGCAGGGGATTGGAATGAGATAATCTTTAAGGTCTCTTCCAGCCTAAGCTATTCTATGATTCTATGATTTTAGGTGGTAAATTTTATTTTGAAAGTACTCATCCCTCAGTTCTATGTCCTCTTATAGACTAATTTTATGTCGGGTTTAATGTCCCTGTTTTGTCTGTGGTTAATGATTTTTTCTTTTAGCAAAGTAATTGTGTTGTATTGGGAAATAGGTGCTGCAATAGTGCTGCAATAAAATTTGAGCATTTTTCACGGCATGCCCTTTATACCCTATCCATATCTTAAAGGAATTTATCTTTCAAGAAGGATGTGTGTAGCTCTTATGCAGATAAAAAAAAATAAATGGTTGTAAAACAGGCATAAGATGAAGATATCCATAGATGCATAATTTTTGGAAGAATACCCAGAGATAATCATCTCTAATATGAATTTTGCAGCATTTGATGGGTAGAGGTGAAGTCAGGACATGATGCAGGTTGTACAGTCAGTAAGAGCCATCGCAGCCATTCCCCCCTAAGTAGTGTAGTGAGGTACCAACTTAAAATGTTATTGCAGCAGTACTTAACTGGATAATTCCAGTTCTTAAACCAAATGCTTTCTGTAAAACACAATTGTTATTGCAGACATGGTCACAGTTTTCTGATTTTCAAGAATGAGACTTTTAGGGCTAAAGAACAAAGGAACTCAACAATGAACTCAGGTTATGTGGAATAACATGCTGTAAAGACATCCATTGGAAAGCAAGACCAGAACCCCATCAAAACTCCCTGAAAGCCACTTGTGGTTAGCCTAAAATTGTTGATGGATTTAGATTTGCTTAAATTTGTAATGTGTAAAAACCAATGTCCGTAATAACTACCAAATGACTATGATGCTTTCAAAAAACACAATTGAATTTTCACATATCATCCTTCATTCTAACCAATTTACTTATTGTAAAGTTAAGGTAGGGAGCACCTGAGGGCACTTACTGCATGTTAATTTTTATTGGTATATGTAAAACTGTATGTCATAGGCTGCTTTGAAGAATTAAACATATGGTTGTATAGATGTGGGCGAAAGTTCTATAAAAACCTTGCCACAAATAATAATTTGCATTTCAAAATTAATCTACTTCAGCAAATGCTTATATTCTTTCCAGAACTGCTTCTTCCAAATGCAAAAGTCACATGAATTCACCTTCATGCGGGTTAATAGAAGAAAAATTCAAACTTCTGTGCATACAAAGTTGCAAAAAGTGACCTTGGATTTCACAGGAGTTAATATTTCCATCAAAATTCTTTATAATAAAAATTATATTAATTCTGCTATATAACAGAATTGATATCATGTGAACAATGGTAACTCACCAATACAGCACAAAGAACAGTGATAAATAATTGCAGTGAACTCCTTTTTGGCTCAAAAAACTAAATATACCAAGTATATATAGGTTAATATAATTGCATAGATGACATCAATAGGCAAGGAAGATAGCTGCTTGATAAATAATTCAGAATAGTCTTTTTTCTTTGTTAACTTAGTTGACTGAACCAGTTAAATCCAGATAAATATAGAGGACTGAATTGCTCATTTTGAACAACATATTGAATTCTAGCATATCTGAGAAATGCAATGGTTTAGGGTATATTGGATAAGAAAAGTGTTTTTCTTATGAAATGAAGGAAAATTTTCTGTGTTACTCCAAAGTATAGGAACCTAACTGGAAGATGTACCTAAACAATTTCTTTTAAATGGCAGTGAAACTGGGCAGAATTTAATACTTCCCAGTGGACATACTGGCTAAGACAGAGAGAGGCAGGGAGTGTTGAAACATCAACATTAATCTTTATCTCTTGAGGAGCAGTAAAGGGGTACAAGAGATAGTGCTTGGCAGAAATCATGAAGGGGAGGACAACTCCAAAACTCAAGTGCTGTTTTTGTTGCTCTACTCTGTCTTTTGAAGCAATCTGCAATGAGTTCAACCAGACTGACAGAGGGGAGAGAGGGAGCAGAAAAACTCTCCCTCAAGTATCCATTGCAGCTTTATAATTCAGGATGTGGCACATTCTGTACTGAGAAGGAAACATGAGGCAATTCACATCTTGTTCTCCTGCCAACCATGGGCATGCTTTCCAAACTTGTACACCAGCCTTCTGTCCACTCATTCCAAAATGCCTGTTTTATAATAGTAACTGCAGAGGAAAACCAGAAAAGAAACAATGGACAAAGTAGTAGCAGAAGTCACAATAGAGAAGTTTTTCACGTGGACTTCATGACAGCAGAACAGTATGTGAATCACCGTGTTCTTTACAGTCAGAGAGCTCCTCTCTTTCTGTTAAATTGCTCTCAAGACTTTAAACAGGTTTAAACTTTCCCACATGCCTTGGAGTATGCCTTCCACTGTTTGAAAGATGCAAGAATTACAAAGAACTGTGATCTTCGATTTGTTGTACTTTTTCCCCAAGGTCATCACAGTTGAGAAGAAACCATCAGTGTAACTGGAACAGCAAAAAGAGAAGTTTTTGGGGGGTTGCTTGGCAAATGTAGTGTAACATGCTCAACTGAGATGAAGTGTGATTACTTTGTTGTCATCAACAGTTACAACTCTATACTGCTTTCTATTTAGCCCTATGGATTTTTTTCAGAAGCAAAGGAGGCCAGGAGCTATCTCATGACCTAAAGAAAAAACATGAAGAAAATAACCACCCACCCAATCCTTCCCTCTCACCCCAAAGTTTTCATAATAGTTATGAACAATGGATGCTGGAATAGAAGCCAAATGAAATGAGGGATACTGCTGCCCATTAACTCACCAGAGAGCTCTGTTCAATTTTTCATATGTCATTCTGTCATTTTTCTTCCTTTGTCCCCACATCTTTGCCAGAGCTTCTGATTTAACAACACGAAAAATGCCTTGTCCCCTGTCTTCCCATTTCAGGATACCACCATTTTCTTCAGGAGAAAGGAGCAGATCCCTTACAAATTCCCACAAGTGAGAATTCTGTAGGTCTTGAACAGGAGGAAGACAGATATTTAGTAGATGTTTTCTTATGCATGTTAAGTACTAAGGCAGTATTTACGGTACATTTTATTATTGGATTGTCATCCTCACAAATCAATTGCACTTACCTAAATGTAACTTTCAAAATTTTAGTTCATTGCCTTGCTGGAGCTGGCTTCAAATTATTTCCTCCAGAAAAAAAAAAAATATCCGGTCATGCAAACACCTATGACACTAGAATCTGGGTTTTTAACTCCAGAAATCAGTACATTTTAATGTCTTGCAAAGGTTATGTCGTTCATAACTTCTGTTCCATTGATTGACATTGTATTCAACTTGATGTTTTAAAAGCAATTTTCAAGGTCATTTTAAGTGTTTCAAGTGAAAGATTGTAACTAACATTGCTCGCCTTGAAAACAAGACAGGAGTATGAGGAGTTAGAAACCCTGCTTCCCAGCATTGCTAAATTCTGTTATTTCAACTCAGTTCAAAAGTTTGTTTGAGAATCAGAAGTGATACAAATAATGTGACTACTGAAAAAGCTGCTAGTGCTGTTATATGTAGAAATCACCTTAACTTCGGATTAGTCATTCAGAGCAGCCCTGCAGAGGACTTCAGGGTGCTCGTGGGTGGACAAGAGCCAACTCTGTGTGCTCAGAGAGGAGAAGGCCAAATGCATCCTGACTGCACCAAAAGCAGCATCACCAGCAGGGATGGTGGGAGGGGATTCTGCAAGGGAGGGGATTCTGCTCCTCTACTCTGCTCTGGTGAGACCCCACCCCGAGTGCTGCATCCAGGTCTGGGGTTCTCAGCACGAGAAAGAGATGGACCTATTAGAACTGGTCCAGTGGAGGACCACCAAGATGATTAGAGGGCTGGAGCACCTCTCTTATGAAGACAGGCTGAGACAGCTGGGATTGTTCAGCCCAGAGAAGAGAAGGCCTTGGGGAGACCTCATTGTGGCCTTCTGGTACCTTAAGGGGGCTTATAAAAAGAAGGGAGGGGGACTTTCTGTACGGGCAGATGGTGACAGGACAAGGGGCAGTGGTTTTAAACTGAAAGAGGACAAGTTTAGATTAGATGTTAGGGAGAAATTCTTTAGTGTGAGGTTGGTGAAGCACTTTACATCAGTACAAAAGAACAGGTTGCCCAGAGAAGTTTTGGCTGGCCTCTTCCTGGAAGTGTTCAAGGCCAGGTTGGATGGGGCCCTGAGCAACCTGATCTAGTGAATGGCATCCCTGCCTATGGCGGGGGAGTTGGAATGATGTGATCTTTAAGGTCCCATCCAACCCAAATCATTCTATGATTCTGTGATTCTAAGTGAGTAATTAGCATGCAACTGCGTGTATTGCGGCACAACAAAACATGAGTTTTTTCTCAATGCCCTCTTCAAAATTCTTGGATTCTGCAGACATATGGAGTTTAGCACATGGTATTCATGCATGCAATGCACCCCTCCATGATGTGCAGTCAAAGAATTTCTTGGCTTAGTGCTGTGCAGTGCTTCTAAAATGTCAAAACTGCCTCAGCATTAAAGAACATTAAAGAAGCAAAGGCCCTTCTTTTTTGTTTTAGAAATCTCTCTCTTCATCCGCTACATACTGCTGATGTTTGAATACAGTGTTTCCTGCTGAATGGAGCTTATCATGTACAAATAAGTTTACTTACAGTCCTTGTTTGATGGCTTTGTTACTTCTGCATCATTAAAAAAGGAAATACCTAAAAGGGAAAAACATAATCCAGTGTTCAGTTATTTTCTTCACAAGACTAACTTATGACTGAAATCTAAAGCCAAGTCTTTGTCTACTGCATCATTGCTCGTGAATTTATCTTAGAACAGATGTAGAAAATACAGGCTGCAAAATGACGAAATAATTTTTCAACACATCTGCTGCAAAAATGATTTATCCTTCCCACTATGACTATGTTTGTGTTGTTTGGGGATTTTTTTTTTTTAACTTTTGGGATTTTCTTCTTATGCTTGGCATTGTGTCTGTATGTCTCTGATCTTATGATTCATGTGTATTGTTTCTTTTCCCTCTGGTCCCTTTGCACTTCATTTTTGCCATTGTCTATATGACAGCTTCTCTCCCTTTCTTTACACTTAGGTGAGTCTTTTTTTGTTCAGCTCCTTGTCCGTTGAAAAATACTCCTGCAATCTTCCCTCTCTCCTTTCCCTAAGCAAGTAAAGACCATCTCTATGGCTGAAAATCAGATTTTCACAAGGCTGGGAGTTGTCTGCTTTTTTAGAACAGTATCATCTTTTAAATGAGTATTTACATTCACAACACATAAACAAATGCATTGCATGTACAAATCTGCATTCAAGAAACTTAACTCATGCTGTGAGTGTGGCATACAAAATTAGGAAAAGCTAGACTTAAGCCTGCTTGTGCAGCCATAGTTTGGTCATTAAGTATGCTGTAGTAATGTCTTGCATTACTGGGCCACATACTGTCTTTCCTCACAGGTCTGATGCAATTTATAAGGTGGATATGCATGAGCATATGTATTTCGTTCGCTGCCAAGTGTTCTATCTCTTTACTGACTATAAAAAAATAATTTTCTTAATGAGATTTTCTTCACAGCTCTGAATTCTTTAATTCCCTTAATAACATCCTTATCTCCTGCATTTAATAATTGCTTTCTGAATGGCCTCTCTGACATGATATATGAACACTAACTGGGTGGAAGAAAGTGATGCCAGTCAGTCCCACAGAGCAGTTCCAACCTAAACCAAAGAGCTGTTTTGTTCTTGTGACAATCTCTAGTCTCTCTTATCTCTCCTAGTCTTACCTGTCCTACTGATGTCTCAGTCACTGTACAACCTTGCTTCATTTTGATAAAGCTTATCCACATATTTTCTTAAGCATCTCCTTTTCTCTGGTCTTCCCAGTCTCTCAGAGATCCTGTTTCAGCTTCAGCCTGCCCTTCCCTGTTTGCTGGGTACCCAGGTCATCCTCTACTGCTGCATTCTGCCTTGCCACCTCTCTCCCCACTTGGCAGTTCAAAAGTAGGCAGTGGACCAGGGAGGGATGGATAAATCCCAGCACATGGTGAGTAAGCAGCTGTTCACCATTGGGAGCCGCTGGCAGTGTCAGCTACCACAAGGTCCTCCAGGACTTTCATGCCTAAGTTTTTAATCCTTTTTCAGCAGTCACGTAACTCCAGTTTGGTCAAATACTCCCCTAAGCCAGAGAAGGCTTGAGCCATTGAGGGCTTCAAGGAGCTAAAATGCTCCTCAGTTTCTCATTGCAGGGGCACAAGGAAATGACATTCTGAATTTCCCTGCTTAGTGGAAACTCCTTTGTTCACATCATCACAATGAACCTGGGTACAATTGCCCTAGTTAGGCATACACACTAATCTTTGGCGGGCATGACTGTAGAGAAAGAGTATCTGCAGCAGAAATTTCACTTCTATTTCACTTATTCTAAACTACCAATAACTTAGTTTTTGAACCTCGACTCATTTAAGCATTAATAAGTCTTCTAAGACAAGGACAGTATATGAAAAGTGTTTTCATTCAAGACCATCATTAAGCATACTATTAATAAGGTGCATACTGCAGTGATAATAACCTCATCAAACAAAACTTCTTGCTTACTTTTTAAGAAGCAAAGCAATCTTCACTACTTTGAGTTACAGGAATAACAATGTGTTATGTCTTTCTATATCCCGTCAGGATGTAGACTTCCCTTGGATCATTCAGGTTGACCAGTTTTAGTAGAAAACCAAAGGAGAGAGAAGTGCTCGTGGGTATTTAGAGATTTGACTGGCACACAGAGTTGTGCCTGGTCTATGTGTGATTGTGAGGCCTAAGGTAGCAGGAAGATTTTCTGCCTGCCATATTTCTGTGTACTCCTCGTGCAGTATCTAAGTGGCCTCTGTACTGTGCCTTTTTTCAGTGCTCGAGAACGTGGATCTCACATTTTCTTTTAGTGTGAAACACACAAAAATTCAGCGCTTTATTTCTGGAACACTAACCATGCATCCTGATATTCTGTAAGATGAAATACAGGAATTCACCACAAATGCCTGCAGCTTCTAGAAACTCTTCCTGGGTCATGTTGCATAATTGCAAGCCATTGATATTGAAGTGGGGAAAGGAAATGCAGTTGGCATCTAGTTTGTACTGGTTACAGCAAAACTGCAACCATTCACAGACATTGTGCTCACTCCAGTATTCTGGGTGGATAGATGTCCAGAAAGAATTAGGATCTGCAACATATTTGACAAGAAAAAGGAATATTGCAATGAAAAATTCATGGTACACTTCATTTTAATAAACATATTTCAAACAAAACTAATCCTTCTTCCTTCTCCTGACTGCAGTTTTCCTTCCTTATTCCTCTCAAATGCATCAAGCCCTGTGTTTTGCATTTTTTGCTTCCTATTGTACAGCCCTTTGTATTTCATCTTGTGTGAGACATTTCAAGCAAAAGTGTTTACACGTGGGAAAAAAAGAAAATGTGCCTCTGAATACTACAGTCCAAAAAATTTAAAAAGTCAGAGTACAGAATTTGTGAGAATTGAGCACTCTGTAATATAAAGAAGTGATGTATTCCTAGACTAAAATAACTTCGGTCTTAGATGTGAAAATAGTCAAAGCTACCTAGTTACGATTTGTGGCAGATAGGTAAATAACATTAATTTATTACATTTTTTCTAAGAATTCCAGCAAGTTCTTTCATTTATTTAATCTAAAATAATGTTAATGTCCTCATAGGGAATATTTGTTTTGTTAGATTAGAAAATGAAAAACATACTACTCTGAAAACACATCACTGGACAAAGAGCTTCCAAGTAAACTTGCCAAGCAGTTGTAACCTAAAACTGCTTTGCCAATTAAATTCCAAATTTTTTTTAACAGGCTTCTTTCTGTCCTTAGCAGTGCAGTTACCAGGAAAATGTACAGAAATATGCATATATTTGCAATAATTTTTTCCCCTAGAAAAATGTATTACTGATCTTATGCCTAGGCCTGGTATGATAAATCTATATAATACAGTTAACAAGCATAAGCTGCAATTTAAACACTTTTTTTTTCTAGAATCGAAACACAGGCTCTTATTATTGAATCTCGTTGGGTATAGTGATGGGCACACTTTTTCAAAAACTCTGCTTTTTCTTTCCGTGAGCTAGACTGCTACATACAGGCAAAAGTCTGATCTTGCAGTCTCCTTCTGCTGGATTCATGTACAGCTACCTTTTTTGGGTGATTGTAAGAAGCAGAGGCAATGGCAAGGATATGTCCTTTCTGCATCCATTCAAATAACATTTAGTGAAAACAGAATTCAAGTATACATCTTGGAATCATTATTGTCATTCATTTGTTACTCAATTTTCTTCTATTTTTTTTTAAAGATGATTAGTAATTTCTCTCAGTTGAGATTCTTAAACAGTTACAGGGATCCAATCCTGACCCTTACTTTAGGATCTTTAAGGATTCTAAATTAATTTTGAATATATTATCTGTAATACTTATATCACTGGAATGGAGCAGTTGCAGAACAGTAAATAGCAAAAGAAAGGCAATCAAGCATGTGAATGAAAGTAATGTGTAGAAAACAGAAAAGGTTGAGTTCATTTTCACGTCCCACAGCATCTTACACTTGATCTGTACTTCACAGTTTCTTAGTCCAGTTACCCATTATTTATTATTTTATTTTCGAATAAATCCTGAATATTTGATTTTAGGGATTGCTTATATGAAATTGTAATTTAATATAAGTTATGATAGCACTGCAAGTCAAGTGAATAGCATCTGTCTGTCTAGACAGCCAGTTCAGAGTGCAAAATGATGCAAATAGGCTGGAGAAGTTTCCACAGTAAAATTAATTCGAAGGGCTTGAAATTGTGACAGAATAACTGTATTATGGATCTTGCATCCTGCATGGCTTCTGTAAAGTAATTAATACTTCTAATTACTTTAATTACAACTCCTAAAGGTTTACAGAGGAATTTGTGGTTGCTTTCATGAATCATTCCCATGCTATAAATATCTTCATATGTATGCACATATAGGATTAATGTAATACTGCATGCTGTGTTTTAAACCCTGAGACGCTACTGTGACATTGTAGCAAAGCCAAGAGGTGGGCAGAAGCTCTGGGTCTGACTTTTGGGACCCATACCTTTAGGATATTTGAATCCCAGATTTTATTCACCTCCTTAGTTAAAAGGAAAATCAGAGGAGCTTGCCATTGGATTAACTTTATAAGCCCTGCAGACTGAACACACCTGGCTATGTCAGAGTCTGAAGGCTTCTGTGGGGGAGAATGGGAGTGCTGGGAGCAGCAGGCTCACAGGCCTTCTGCCAGGTAAAAAACAAAAAGTTTTAAAATTAGGCTATAGCTCTACTGGAATCCCAACTTCAGAGGCTGCTCAAGAGAAGCAGAAAGTTGAATTGATCCTTTTCTGAATCAGGCATATTTTTATTTTTTTTTTAATCCTCTGCCAACAGCCTCCAGCCCCCCTTGGGAAAACTGGAACATCATCATGTCCTTAACTAGACAGATTTACCAAGAGATGGGTGTCCCTGTGGGGCTGGGCACAAATCCAGCCCTGTGTTTCAGGGGCTGCTCTGTGACCTGCTGCCACAAGCCAGTCTAGATCCTTTCCCCATATCTGTGTGCAATATGCAGCTGAGTGAAAAGGTCGTGGCTTCCCTTTTCTATCTACAACTTCCCTGTTCTATCTACAACTTCCCTTTTCTATCTAAAAGAGTGCTGAGTTGCTCATTTTTTTCCTATCTTAAGGCAATATGAAAGAAAAGCTGAAGTATTTATTCTGCCAATCCACAGGTACAGTGAATAACCTTGAAATACTTTGGCCATTGGGCTTGAAACTTTGACTTTGTTTTGATAAATATCATCTTCTCTGGTAGGATTTGTATTGTCATATAAATGACACAGCATGTTTCATTCATGGAACAGCACTCATGTAGTCCAGTTTCTGTGTTTCCTTTGGTTCTGGAAAGGTTCAAATCATTCTTTTTAAATATGCTATGGCCCCTTGAAGTACTATTGTATATGACGAGCACTTTAAAGGTGCTGACACCAACACCTCACCTTCACATGTGCTCATGCCTTTTCTACCTCATATCAGAGTAAAGAATTCAGGGAGCTTTCCTGTCTTGTAAATGATGAACATGATCAAGGTATTATGCCACTAAGGAGGGAAAGATCAGCCAAAGACATAGACTCTATGAAAGATTTCAGGGTTTTTTTTTAGAGAAAAAGAAAGGGGCAGGTAAAACTTCATATCACCATACAAAAACATAAGGGCCAATAGACCCCCTAGTGACAAGAACATACCAGAATTGTGCCTAAAACAGGATGATGATGGGTAGCAGGGGGTGCAGAAGAAAACACAGAATTCAGACCTTTTCCATTCCACCACTGCCTGTTCAGCTGCACTGACTATCTTATTGTACTTTTCATGGAGCCTGGGTTGGGCAGCTCTCAGAGAATAGCATCTCTTGACATAATATTCCCAGACTACAGAGCTTGTTCAGTCAAGAGACTTGATTGAAGTTCCCTAGCTAAAGTGACACCTCTAAAATGACTCTCCTACTTTGTAGGAGATGTGGTTTTATTGGTGGTGACAAGTGAAGCTGTGGAAGGCAATAAGTCTCAAGTAGGTTCAGGAATGTGTGCCAAATGAAAGACAGCTGTCCAGACTTTTCCAGGGATATATTGACTGCTGCATGGCATATGCAGGCAAGCTAATACAGTATGTGTGGGAAAATATATGTGGAGGGAAATACTGCCATCAGCCAAAACAAAACTGTCTGGTCTCTTTATATGTAGTCCAGCTTTAATATAAGGTGGGCAGATCATTCCTATGTAACACGGTCCACCTTTTTGTCTGTTGGAAAAGACATTTAATTTAGTCATAATGTTTGAAATTTAGAAGTCAGAGACTGTGTGAATTTTCTGTATTATTTTGCCCTTTTCACCAAGGGCTGGAAAACATAGAGAAGAAATGAAAAATTACACAGTATTTTTGGTGTCACGAATTTTAATATCCTCCACTTTGTATTAAAAAAAATGCCCTGAGATACAAATGCTGATATATTCTGATAGCCAGAAAATAAAAGCAGTAAAATTACCAGTGTGGGAATGGAAAGGCAAACTAACTCTGTAGTTCTCCCTGTGGGAGCATGGGGGTGGCTGCACTGTCCCAGATGAAAGTCCCTCTAAGCCAGGGTCCTGTAACTGATCGGGCTTGCTGGAACTTCTTCACATTTTTGCAGAAAATATTTTAGAAACTTACTTTGGGCTCATACACTAAAATACAGTGTTCTTTTAGAACAGGACCTAAGCCTAGCAATAGCCTGTAAATCAGTTGTCTTCATCTGTTTCTTTCTAGACAGTCTTGCCATCACTTTCTCTTCTGTTTAACTTGAGCTTCTACTTTGTTTCTACCTAGCACAAAACAGGTTTTCAAAAGATGTTGGGATCACGATCCTTAAGCCTATTACTGTCACCAGAAAAAAGTGCAGGTTGAATGTTATTAGGCTGACCTACATTCTACTCTGGCTGCAGAGCAAAGTACTTTTCTGCTCAAGGGCTGCTTATGCAATGCAGTAGTGGCTTTATCTGTGTGTGCTAGACATGTTATATGTACTCCTTGGCTACTGTGGAAGAAATGATAAGAGAATTCAAAGGCTGGTTTAAATTTGATTCAGGAGAGAAATTACTGTAACCAGAAAGGACTCCTAGAAAGCCTAAAAGCATGAAGAATTGAGCAATAGAAAACATGTGCAGGAAGAAACATAGCTCCTGCCTTGGTCAGAAAAGGCTAATTACTTCCTCAGCTCATCTTTGCTTAGCAAGAGGCAGTCTGACCTGATTGTTGCATAAAGCTTGTGTCTTAAGAACTAAGGGAGCTTTTCACTTAGCTACAAGTGGAGTTCAACTTAACATGATTGCTCGAGTATAACTGCTGCACCACTGTTCATCTGGATGAATTCAGAGCTGGGCAGGTGTAGCACCACAGACCTTATACTGTTAACTAGTAACAGACCACAGTAAAGTTATATATTGTCAAAATGCCTCAGATGGGCTACTTTGCCTTTGGCAAACGTGTATATGCCAATATCAGAAGTTACCTTGGGATTATTTCAATGTCGGTGTTGTGGGTTTTGTATTTGGGGTGTTTTGTTTGTTTGTTTAAAGACATGGAAGAAGGTTGAATAACAGGTAGATCTTTAATAAAAGTCAAGGTAAAAGAAGAAGGGATCCAAAATTAACTTTGAATGAATCATATCAGGTATTTAAAAGTGCATGTTTAAATTTTAAAACAGACTGCTTTCTGTGAGTTTGGGAATTCTTAATGAAAGTTAGGACTGTATTCTAAGATGGAATGAAAACTAATATTAAACCAGTATGATTTTAAAAAAAATTCAATTCCTGCAGGGCTTTAAATATAACCATCTTGAAGCAAGAAGATTTATATTCTATTTCATATGTCAAACTTAGTGATATAGAAACAAAACACTATGTCCTCAGTGGTCATGGATTAGCATCATCAGGAGCCATGTGGAAATTACTGTTATTACTCAAAATGTGTCTTGCTAGGAAAGGTCTTTTCCATAAAACCACCAGTATTCTCATGTAAAAGAACAAAAATAGCTTCGGAAGAGAAAAATTTTGCATAGTTGTAATTTTTTCCCATTTCTAACCAAAAGTTTGGCTCATTAGCAGAGTGGGTTGTACTACCTCCCTTTTCAGAGCCTTTTGAATGACTCAACCTGAGAACAGAGAAGAATGCCAGGACTATTCAGGAATTAATTCCAAGCATTCAGAAGGGAGATTTCTAACAAGCAGTGCTTACTTAAACTTCTGAACAAGAACCTGATCTGACACCAGAACATTTGGAATAAATTCCTTCAAACGGATTAGGGATTCCCCACATGAGATGTAAGGCCTGGTAAAGCACAGGTTTTCCATATGCACAGTTAGAACATTGCACCCTTAACATTGGCAATTTCTGTAGTGGGGAACTCTTGCACTATTACAGATGCATTTCTACAGCTGTTCTGTTCTCTAGTGGCTTTCAGAATCCTAGTCATTGCCATCTAAGTGTGTATTTACCCAGTCTCCACTATTCACCACAAAGTTGCAGAGTGAGGAACCATAAATCTCCCAAAATAAATTACTCTTCCATTCTATAGCTAACGTGGTGTATTGTGGGTATCTTTTCAGTGAGAAATGCTGGATTTCAAACACATGGAGTAAACAAAAGGAGTCAAGAATCTGAAGCCATAGATGCTGAGCCCCTCATAATGAACTTCAATGGCCTTTGAAAGTTTCTGCTTGAATTAGGTGTATCATGTTTTCAAATAAGAGGAGAAAGCATCAGTTCAACACATTGCATGACAAACAAAACTAAAGCTGCTACTATTCCTGTGCACCTTTAACTATGACTGGTGATATGCTTGAAAAGGTCAGTAAGATCAGAGCAGACAATGCATATAACAGAAGGCTCAGCAGCAGTTTCAGAATCTGTAGCCTTTTTGCTGCATGATTCATCTAAAATGAATTGAACCCAAATCACTTTTCAGTTTTTGACATTGTACAATTTCTTTTTTTCTGTTGGAGCCTGTCTGCATACCTCTTTGATGATCACAGACAGTGTAGACATCTTCAGTTGTCCCAAAGAGTCCTGTCAAAGACATCAGGGGATCACAAACCATTGTGTTTGGCAGAAATGTGCTCTGAGTTACTGACTCCAGCATCACCTTAAGATATTAGTACTTTAGTTGAAGATGGAAAGATAATATTAAGGAGCAAAGTTTTAAGGCTATAGGCATTATTCCCTGGCTGTGTATGTATAGTTCTATGAGGTACCATTGCCCACAGTCATTTAAGCTTCAGCTGAAGTTAATGATGATCTTCTGAAAACTGCAGTGAAGGAACTGAGAAATTTAGAAAGAAGGCAGATGACCAATATACTACAGATAGATTTTCAGTAAAAATTATTGTAATGACACATTCCTAGGAACTTGATAATGAAATCTATGGATATAAAAATAAGAGTGAGCAATAAACCAATTAGAAACATATACATGATATTAACATTATGGTTCAATAATATCATTGGAAAAAAAGGTTTGAGCAAGTTCTCATACAAATGAATGAGAAAACATTGTTCTGACCATAAGGATGCTCACTTTGTCTGTAAGACACTGCCACAGTTGTCATCCACACCAGAGTGTGAGGAGATTAACAAAGTCTGAGAAAAAAATATGCTTTCAAAAGTGATTAGAAACTGAGAATTTATGTAGAAAAATGGTTATTCACTTCAGGGAAGAAGCTTTTTGCACAAAAAATAAGATTACTGAAGAACAAAGTGGTTACTAACTGGTGATATGAGAAACAAGTGTCAGAGAAAAACATGATCTATGATAGGAACTAGAGCAGGTACAGAAGAAGAGAATTTTTGCTCATTCCATTTTCTTATACATATATCATGCATGTACACATGCATTAATTTCCTCAGACTGGAATGGACATGGACTTCCTGCTGTTGAATAAATACATGGACCGAATTGTGGCTCTGGTCTTTCAGACTTCACACAGAACTGCTTAAACCAGTTTTGTCTCTTTTTTTTCCAGACCTAAACTGCTTCTGTGTTTCATAACTAATTTTATCTTGGGTAATCTGTAGAAGAAAGACACCTGAAATGTTTACTAGAGTAACATGGTCTGGTCTTAAAGATCAATGTGTAATTTAAAACTACTACAAAGTCAAAAAATGTCCAAATAGCTGTGTATACTGAAGAAATGGGAAGCATTCAGAAGTTTTCATGGTCTCCAGAGTTGTAAGAAAAAGCTGATCTTAGTCTAAATTAAGCAATGATGAGATATGGAACATGGAAACATTTGGGAGTCCCCTGAAATGCTTTGATACACTAGAATTCATATATGTGGCAAGGTAATACTTCAGGACACCACATTTTCACCTAGTCATATTATTATGGATGGAACACGGAAGGCAATATTTAGAGATTTTGTCAGTCTGGTAAAAACCTTCATTCTCTATGCGTTTCTGCCAAAGTATTTAATGTAGAATACCTCATACATACATATGTGTGTAATTGTGCATTTGGATGAACACTGTATATTCAGTGAGCAATGCAGAATTTTACAGAATTCATACAAAGGGATGTATATGAAACTGCAAGGTCTCAGACATAAAAAAATCACCAGAATTTAAGTTCATGATGGTCCCAGTCTTCTTTTTTTTCATTCCTCTGACTGAGTGGCCCACACAGGGGAAGATATCTATTTACAAACAATTTATGAAGTCAAACCAGTGACATTTGAATCAGTTCCAAGTTGCTGCAGCATATAATAAAAAATTTATTGAGTACAACTATAAAATATTTAATTTCTTTCTGAAATTGCTTTACTGTTTAATTCCAATACTTTAATGAGATGATACAGGCTTACTATGAATAGAATTCTGAAGTTCACAGGACCAGGCAGAAAGAAGTCAACCAATATTTACTACATTCCAAGTATATTGACCCAAGTATTTCTGAAAACCAACAAATTAGAGACTTACTCATGTTTATCATCTATGTAAAAGAGTTCCTGTCACTATCATCCCCCCAGTGCAATGAGCAGCCTACTGTGAGTATACCCTGGTGCCAACTCAGTGGGCAAAAAAAAACAGCTAAAAGCCAATTGCCATCTTGAAGAGAATAGAATCTCTCTGCAGATCATTGGAGAGACATGATTTAAGAATGATTGCAAAGATAACCTATTCAAAGTATCTCCTCCACTCTATACCTCCCTCCCCACATGTAAGACTTTCCATAAAGAAATGTCTGGAATGAAATTCAGAATCCATGAAACAAGGAAAGTAGATTTGCTCAAGGAGAAATAGTATCCGGGAAGATGGATGAACTGTTACAAGCAAAGAGGGGTATGAAAAAAATCCAAGGCCACTGGATTTAAAAAACAAAAAATTGAGAATGAGAAACTAAGAAGTGGAATGGCAGCCTCAGTCTCTGCTGAGGACTACATATGGGCTTGCAGGTGTGGGGCAAAGCTGCCAGCTTCAAATCCTACCAACAGGTTTGACCACATGCCTTACAGGCAGCAAAAACTATTTGGGAGGGAAAAATCCTGTTTTACTCATATGCAGTTTACACTGCTGCTCCCATATAGAGCTCTGGATGTTCCAGAAAAAATGTTAATTATTAATATCATTGAAAAAGATAATATATTTTCATGTATTTTATGCAAACAGGATATTGGTTTGAGCCATATTGAATATTATCTTACCGTTAGCAGGTGCTGCTTATGTATGCACATATCTGCTTGAATACACTTGGGGGACATAGAAATTGGAAGAGTCAATCAGGTTTTTTCAAACAACAGGAGAGCTTTACAGCTCTTAGTTTTACTCCAGCTGGTGCTGGGTTCACCGAATCTAGAAATTAGTTTTTACATTACAAACAATCTCTTTTGATTTAGTGAGACATGCCTAAATTGTTAACATATTAAAAGATGCTGAGGTCCATGCTTGTCTCCACCATTAATTCATTAAACCAAAGTCAACTGTTTATCATTGAGAAAACTGGTGATGCGCAAATGAGAATGGCAGGCAGTGCATCAGTTGAGTGTCTGATAAAATCGTCACAGCAAAACCGTTTTGGCAGCCTATAGCTCTTTTATAAACAATGACTTCAGTAAAGAAATGGAGCTTACTTTTAGGTAGGTGATTACTCCTTATGCAGCAGTTAAGTCCAGAAGTAGGTCTTGGGAGCAAGGGGGAGCAGGAGGCTTCGACAGCAGCACAGCCCAGAACTTTAGAAATAAAGCCACCTGCAGGACTGTGATATATGGAACACCTTAGAGACAGGTTGGTTTGGTTTTTCAAGTTCTTATACACACCCTTTCTGATGACAGTGATAATATATAGTACAACGTAGCCCAGGACCAGGGGAGAAACATTCTCAAGTACAGAAGGTTTACCTTTATCCCACATTGTGCTGAGGAGCCTGTGTCCGAATGGGAACGCTTTAAAGCATGGAGGGACCTTCTCAATGTGTGAAGGGATTCCATTTTATGGACTTGCTCATTCATACCCTGTTTTAAACATTGTTTGATGTGTTTTCTCCACAGGGCCGTATTAACCCCATTTGCTTGCATAGCCCAAGACTTGCCCGGGCTTGCCCAGAGCTGTTTTCCCGCCAGAAGTTGTTTACTCCCTCATTTTCCCGGTCATGCTGCGCTGATTGGCTGAGGAGTGCCACGGTGCGGGATGAGTCCCCATTGGTCCCTAATGCCCGACTCCTCCCAAGTTCCTCCTCCTTTCCTGAGTTCTCCTACCCTGTTGTGCCCTGAGATGTCAATCCCATGCTCCTCCCCTGTTACCAAGCCTTTCTGAAACAGACCCTGTATAAGTCCTTGCTCTACCTCAATAAAGTACCATTGCACCCTGATCTTCTACCTTGTCGGACTCCTTTGTGCAGTGTTGCGGTCCTATTCCCCTACCCACCGGACCGTGGCAATATTGTTTTTTTCCTCTTTCTCTAAAAGCGTTGATTTATGCAACCATGACTTACAGACCACCTAAGCACACCTGGTACGTGTAAGGCGAGTCTCATTAAGGCGAGTCTCACTCCTTCTTTTGTGACCTGAGCATGTATGAGGAGCTATCAAATTTTGTTCAGAGCCCTCAAAGCTGAGGAATTGGCATTCTCACCTTTTACATCTGGCAAAGACCAGGATGTAGAAAAGTGACTGGCTTAAAGTCATGCAGCAAACTACTGTGGGTGTTAGAGAAACGACAGTGCTCATCCTACGTCAGGTGAAATCTCTGTAGGGCTGAGCATTGTGCCTCTGAGACCCACAAAAACCTGCTGCGTTCTAGGCCAGATGCGGCTGCCTTAAGGTCTGAAATGATCATGAAGATATCTGAATGTTCATGGATAGGATGCTTGGTATGATTAGGAGCAGCAGACCAGAGATACCAGAGGCAGCAAGAATGAATTGAAGAATGAAATGGGCACATCTAACATAACATGATACTTCTTTAATATATAAATTAAGAATAGTTTTGGTCAACTAGATCGAAATATTTTTGTGCCCCAGAGCTCCATCGTAAATAGCAGTCTCTTGAGGGTGGCTGCACAAACAGCGAGAGTTTAAAATTTAGGCACATATGACACCTCAATTCTTCTGAGACATACTATTTCTAGTACTGAAAATATGTTGTCTTTTATACATTTTAGGTGGGCTTTCGACAAAGATTTGCTTATTTGCAGAAATTTGTGAACTAGAATTTTCTTGGAACAGGGGAATGGGGAAGGGAGAAGTGATTAAATGAGACAAATAACAGAGGCAGGAGCTTGCAGATTCCCTTTGGTTTACTTTTCTGCTTTTCTTTTGTACTCTCACTTCAAGCAAAGGCATTTACTTCTCCATGACTGTGCTGACAGGTGCCTCATAAGCTTCTCCCTGCTGCTGTCATGTGCATCTCATGCTAGTGGTGAGGCATGACTGTGGGGAGAAGCAACTCTGATGCAAGGTAATGTTGCATGGTGTGAATACAAGAAGTGACTCAGAGGGAGTGCCACATTTCATCTTCCCAGCGCAACAGGGTCATGCCAAGAAACACTGCTAATGGAGCTGGTAGAGGGCCACCCAAGTGCAGTGTCCCAGCTCACCATTTCAGAGCATATTGCACCAGGAGAATCACCTTCTGTTACACGAGATGGTGGCTGACAAACCTGACTGAAGCTTAGCCTGCAGGCTCCCATTTAGCAAAGCCTTAGCCATAGAGGACGTCTTCTTCCTTCTGCCCACTGCACTCTCCTTGCTCTCCTTTAGCTAACTAAATTATCTCTCCACCCTTTGTTTCTTTTTTTTCCTTTTTTTTTTTTTTTTAATTTCCTTCTCTTTTTACCTTTCTTCTATCTTTCTCTCTTCAAATTTCAAAACGGTAGAATGATGGAATGATAGAATTGCTTCTATCAATGGGGAAAATGCATTTATGCTGTGGCAGTCCTGTTGCAGGCAGATCTTTTCAGAAACCCAGTCCATAGTGCATGAGACCAAACAAGTAAGTTTGTGCAACAGCTTATCATGTTCTCCAAAGCAATAGTGTGATTTCCTGCAATGTGGCTTTTGCATTGATAAAGCGGCATATAAACTGTGGGATAATCCAGACAGGAAATTGTTGGTAACCTTGTAAACATCAGTAACTGTATAAATAAGGAGTAGCAGTTACTGCACTGTACAGAATGGATCTCAAAGGCTACATGAACATAAAGTGATAGGTATAACCCTAAGAATTGCACCACAAAAAAAAAAAAAAAGAAAAAAAAAGAAAAAAGAAATTTCCTCTTCTTTCTCTGCCACTTAATCAAGATATTTAAGGAAAATTCTCATTTCTCAAGGATCTGGGAAAAGTCTTTTCTTTTGATACAATCTTGTAGACATGCTTCTGCACTTATGAATTCACAAGTCAGCACCAGTCCATGCTGTGCACCTTGATTTACACAGAAGTACCTGAGCACTGGTGCTCAGCTCATGAACAAATGCCTGCAGGTTTAAATAAAATTGACTGAGCTCTTGAGATTAACAGGAAGAAGTTATTATTGGATTAGTCCATGACACCATCTTTCACAGTTTTTAATAAAATTGCCAATCACAGAACTTTTCAGACTTATTGGAGAAGTGCTGCTGATGAGTGCAAATGGACACTGAAAAATTACACAATGAGATGTTTCTGATCCAAATACATCACCGATTTTGACTGGCTAAAATGGACTTTGTTCACAGTCTATTAAACTGGCTTCATCTGATATTTCCTCACTTTATAACCTGTTATTATTTTTTATCGCTATCATCAGAGTGACCTAAAAGAGACTTTGACTTATATGATGTGGAAAGTGTGGGGATCATAATACCATAAATATTAATCCAGTTTTTTTTTCCTTTCAACTACAGAAGCAGAGAAACCTGATTAACTCTGTTTCCTCCATCCAGAACTGACAGATAACAAAAAACTCAAGGTCAACTCTCCTATTGTAGCAGAGGATGTTATGAACACACAGTATCACGTCTTCACCCCCGGACATGTAAATCCTCTAAATTGGAATCATGCCACTCTCCACAGAATAGCAGAAATTTCTGGGAGATCTACTTGGAAAAGTATTTATTGGAAAAAGACATCCTACTTAACCAAATGATGGATCAACTGAACTAATTAACCCTATTTTTCTTTTGCAGAAATGTTCCCTACAAATCCTGACATATATCTGAAAAATTGTATGAAAAACAGAAATCTGAAGGTTTAGTGGCATGCATGAAACATGTTAAATACTCCATTGCTCCCTTGGTGTGTGTCACCTCATGGATCACTGTCAGAAGTCTCACCCTGACATTTGCACTGAGGATAAGTTACAATGATCCAAAAATCTGAATGGTTAAGTAGAATGTAATACTACTGTGATATGATTTTGTTTTATATTCCTCGGGCAAATGGATTGGCACAGATTATCACGTATAGCTGTGAACTTGTTCCATGGCAGCCAGTGGGCAGTGCAATTCAGAGTAATAACCAGAGTCTGTCCCTGCAATTCAGAGCAATAACCAGAGTTTCCAGCTAGTGGGACCTTGGGCCAAGATGGCAGAACCTTGGGGCCACAGATCAAATTGTCCTGTACAAAGAGAGTAGCTTACACAGATTCTTTACACAGTTCCCCAAGGAGCTAAACCCTGTGGATCTGACCAATGGAAACCCCAGAATTTAAGATGTTGTTGACATTGCTGCACGCATAAAAAGCCTCAATATCTTCCTGCAATGATTTGCTGATCAGTGACCCTGGCAGTAATTCACTGTGCTTACCTTCTGCAGCACTGCGACCTGAATGTAATCAGACCAAACCATAGTAAACATGACTAAAATATCACATTTCTGACAGTGCCCTGGTGCTCAGCATTTACCAGCAGCAGGTACAGTTAGTTATCCAGGATTCTGCTGAGTTTTGTAGCATCTACTCCCACAGGTTTTCTCAGTCTCCTGAAAAGGTACAGATTTTCCATGTTTTGGGGGTCTTCTTTGTGCGTGTAATTCCATGTAGAGATAGTGCTATAGTGACTAAAGACAGAAGAGTCTATTAGTGAAGACAAGTGTAGGAACATGTATAAACAAGACTGCAGCATAGCATGAGTTCCCAGCATCTCTTCTGAGATGCCATTCCCTTGTATCCTAAAGACTGTCTCCACCAGACAGGGTGGGGTTCAAGAATGATGGAACCACTGACATCCTTGGCTTTATGTGGGATGGTCACTGTATGCTAAAGATTCACAGGCTGCACATTTTCTGCTCTAAAAAACTTTTGTGAGAAGCCAGTGTTGAATGTTTTTAGTATTAGAATTAAAAATGGTGACAGAAATACCAAGAAAAAACAAAGCCTGACTAGAGCCTTGGTGGTGAAGAATAGGCAGAGCTCGAGTCTTTGAGTTTGTGTGGCAACAGCACCTTACATTTGTAGCAGGAGATGGATTGGAATGGAAATATTGGTTTGCCAACCAGCCCAACAGCATGGTTTTGCCTTCTCTATAGATAAGGCTGCTTTGCTGGATTCACTTTGGCACTAAAAAGCCTTTGTGCACTTTTTAACTCAAGAAATTGGATTTACTACATTTTGGTAGAACTTGTTGTTTTCTCTTCTGTCTTCTGCTTGACAGAAAGGAAGTAGGGCCATAGACTTCCCACAGGCATTGATCTCTTAACCAGAAATTCAGATTACCAAGATGGTGAAATGGTTCTGCTTTTAGATCCTGTTCCTCTTCTAACTACAGTAGCCACCTCCCAGTTTCAGATGGAGTGAGAATTATTTTTCCTTATGTTACCAGAAATGAGGGTTAAAATGCTTTACACAACCTTCTGTTATTTTTTTTAAAGGGAAGAAAAATCAAGGGTGTGTCTTTGAAATTTGATGAGAATTCCCCTACAGACTAACCTCAGAGGAGTTAGGA